AAAAAAAAAAAAAAAAAAAAGAAATGGAGTTTAAAATACTCATCTCGGGCTGGGGATTTAACTCAGCGGTTCTGCCGCCTGCCTGCCTTACAAGTGCAAGGTCCCAAGTTCAATCTCTGGTACCAAAAAAAAAAAAAACCACCACAAAGAAACTCATCTTTCTTACTAAATGAAAAAAAAACAACAAACTATGTGACAAATACCTTGCAATATATTGTGTTAAATGAACTTAAATTTCTTGATCAATTACATTTATTTATAATTTTGGATTTTCTTCCATGCATTTATTATTCTACCTTTGTAATTAAACCTCTGTAACTATTCAAGAATTTTCTTTAAGAAGAGGATCTACGTATATACTTATATATGTGTATCTTTTATTAACATATATATCTTTTATTAATAAACATATCTTTTAAAAATATATATATATCTTCTGCCTAGGAGAAGCCTAGAGAAATACTGAATATATATTGCTGATTAATTCCTTTGCAATTTGTAGGTATAGAAATCAGAAAAAAAGTTCTCATTAAGTTAAAATAAGTATTATTTTAATTTAAAAATAATTATTGCCTTAGTTTTAAAAAATATTTACAAAGAAGTACAAATTCGGCTTTCTCACATTCTAGGAGTCTGATCCTTCAGGTTACTTTTTTTTGCTCAAGATTTAGATTTAGAAGTAATGGAATTAAGTGTCACTTCCAAGCATACCTTAAATGATGCTTTATCCGTGATAGAATATGATTTAAAAGGAAGAATTTGAGAGACTTTTTAAACTGAAAGTGTTACTGTATCTCTTCTTTTAGTTGTCTATATATATCAGTTTTATACATACAACTTCCTCTTTAGCCTTCTCCTTTATGAGATACTAAACTCTCTATGTTCATGTACTTCCAAAGTCACGAGACTAATTTAGTTAAATCATAAATGTAATGTTTCTGTCAGGATATCCTTTTTTTGTCATAATAAATGTACTCTTCTTTGTCCATATGCTTTTTCTCCACATCTGTGAATCTTAGGGACTACATAAACTAGCAGTTGTAGGATAGGTATACAAAAATTTCAAACAAAAGAGATTTTGTGATGATCTATAAACACTGAAGATCTGCGATTTATTTGGCCTATGAATGTAATGGAAACTTCGAGAGGTCAAGGAGTTATCATGTATTTATGATACTTAGTTCCATAAATTACTATATAATGTTAATAAACATTGTCCAAGCATAAACAGAGCTACATGGATTACTCATTTTAAGAAGGTGACACACAATTTTTTAAAAACTCACTAATGATACCTCATTTATCACTAATTAGTTCTTCAGTTTTCTTTTAATTGAACGCATAACATTTGCCAACCTCACAATATATTCATTTTTTCACTTATGGAAGATTATTTGTTCTCTGGATTATATAGGACATTCATCTCCTAATTGGTGAGTATATGTAGCTTGTTTCAAACAGGTCAGAGTAAGTTTCAGTATATAAAATGTTAATCACTGGGTGGGGTGACTTTATTTTGTGGGTTTGCTCTAATCAAGAGAGAAGCTTCATTTTTCTGAGGAAAACTGCTGGCATTACCAAGATTTATTTCAATTCTTCAGCTATGAAAAAGACATGCCCAACTGGAAATCAAACATAATTTGTAAAAAAGGAAAATCACTACAGCCATTGTTTTGTGTACATATCCTTTTATAACTTCAAGTCCTTTTATAAACCTGAAGGGGATATGGTATATTCTGGAATGACACCGACAATGATAGTTACGGCAGGTAAGGGAAGAGAGGTCCAGAGTTGAAATGTCTTGTACAGGGAGCATAACATACATTTACTTATTTGGATTTAGTTTCTTAAAGAAGCTAATAATGCCTTCATTGTAGAGTACCCTTACAGCTAAATGCACAATACACAAACATGCTTTTCAATGCTGTTCTCCAGAGATATAATCCTTGTGATTACAACGTGAATGACTTTGTGCTAGGCCGTTTGGCTTCTTTAATTTTCAACCCGTGCTGCTGAAAACTAGATTCCATTTCCCTGCACCTACATTTTATAAGAGAACAAAATACCTCGGTGTAAACACCTTGTTCCGTTTCTTCCTGCCTCCTCTTTTCACATTTTTCTTCTAGCAACTACGACCACACTGTCTGTGCCTGTGCTAAGAAGCGCGCTCCCACTCCCGCCTTCTCCCACCTACCCCACCTTCAAGAAGTGCTTTCCTTTCCTTTCCGCTTCCCGAGGACTTTTGTCCCTCTCGGCTTCCGGATCACTGCCCGGAAGACTTGCGGAAACAGTGCGCACGCGCTCTTCTAGTCACCAGTTTGCTTCCTGTTTGGTGGGCTCCCTGTTTTCAATTTCCGACATCGGCAGCTTTGCAAGTCTCGCGGTATTTGCTGTGGCCGGCGGGCGTGAGCCAGTGCTTTTTTCTGGCGGGCCTTTTTAGCTCGGCTCCTCGCCGGCACCCGTCTGTCGCCCGGAACCTCTGGGCTGAGCAACATGACGTCCGCCTTGGAGAATTACATTAACCGTATCCTCTGGCCGGCTGACAAAACCGTCGGGGGTGGTGTCGGTACTGGAGGGGACCCGGGCTGGAGGGGCCTTAGGCCTGGATCGGCGGGAGGCCGGGTAGGGAGGGAGGGACTGAGGGATCAGGACCTGGGAGCAGCCAGTCCTGTGACCCAGGTCGAGCCTGCGGGCCTAAGGTGCTTTTTAATTTTAGCCTTAAACAGCAAGCAGACACACACACACGCACGCACGCAGCCCGGTGAAATTATTCAAAACTTTATAATAATGCCGTATTGATTAATCCTTATTGTTTTCTTAAGGCTTAGATGTTCACGTTTGGGAATAAAATGAGTCGTTGCCCCGGCAGCGATGATAGTTTTATAAATCTATGTATTGTACTTGTTTTAGTCACCGGCTTTGGACATTGTTCAAAGGTCGCAAAATTATTAAAGGTGGTCCGCCACGAACCTCCCGCCCGTTTCCCACTTGAAGTCTCAACTTGGTTGACTGAAAATAATGCTTGCTTTTGTAATGGGTTGTAGTGTCTCAGGACAACAATATTACCATGTGGTCATGTACAAATCTGGCAGAAAGATTAAATACTGAAGTCTTTCAAAGATGCAAGCATTACTGGTATCTTATGACATTAATTATAGCTTCTTTTGAATTCCAAAAGCCTCGTCCTGGAAGATAGTTGTCTTAACTTTGTGAAATCACGCAGCATCGATTAATTGAATTGATTAATTTTTATTTCCGACATAATTAAATTGATTTTTATTTCCTACATAAGGAAATAAACCTAAGAAAGGGGGAAACGTCTTGCTCAAGAGCATAGATTGGCAACATTCTTAGTAAAAGGGTACCAAGCATCCCAGCTGTTTTGAGACAGGATACACTATCACATATAGGAGGTTTTTTCCTACTTTTCTTTTTTTGTTATGTAATTATCAAAAAGAATTTTACAACGTTAGAAACTTAAAAGTTTTTATGTAGTGAACATAATAGATTTGTTAAATAGATCTTAATTCTATCATCTTTTTTTCTAGTAATTTAAACCATTCTATTACCAGAATCTAAATTTTCAGTTTGTATTCCCTAAGAAATGCTTTCCTTGATTCAGTTATCAGGAACTGTTGCTGTTATTACTTCTGATGGCAGAATGATTGTGGTAGGTGGCATTTTCATTCTCTGCTTTCTTGTAGTCTTTTTGATTGTAAATTTTTATGTGCACCTTCTGATCTACAATGCCTAAGCACCACAGTATACCTATATTGCATTTTTTTGTATTGTATTTTTTTTATTCAGCTTTTTACCTTTATCGCATTGCTGCCAATCCATATTTTCTTCACTAACAAACACTGAATGTATGCTATATGTACAAGGCTTCTTGGAAATAGAATAATAGATTTATTATTATCTTTTTGTTTGTTTCCTTTCCCATTCAGTGCTCTAACATTGGCTATATAAATCATTTAAAAAATTTTGTATATGCTTCTTAGAAACGTGACTTACTACCTGTGTGTTCAGTCATTTGCTTAACAATGGCGATCAGGTCTGAAAAATGTGTTTTTAGGTGATTTTATTGTGTGAAAATCTTTAAAAGTATACTTACACAAATGAGGCAGCAGATGGTATAATCTTATGGGACCACTGCTGTGTTTACAGTCCATCCTTGATTCAAATGTTATGTTGTGCATGACTGTAATTTAATCCCTTATTTTCTCATTCTGTAGCTTTGATTTTTTTCTTTTTCAGTCATTGTAATGGATATTAATAGGTCATTACTATTACCATTACATGCCATTTATTGAGTGCATGCCATTCTGTAGTTTTGCTTTTTTCTTTTTCAATCATTGTAATTGTTATTAATAGGCCATTACTATTACTATTACATGCCCTTTATTGAGTGTATGGCTTGGGCCAGGCACTCTATATGTGTCATTATTTGTCCTGCGGTACAACTTTGTGAAGAATTATTCTGTATTATAGGTTAGGATCCAAACTCAGAGGAAGGGAGTCCCTTTGCCAGAGTCACAGTATCAGTGGCAAAACTAAATGGGAATTGGGTGGGGGTGGGGGTGGGATTTAGCTCAGTGGCGCCGTGCCTGCCTTGCAAGCACAAGGAGGTAGATCCCCAGTACTGCAAAAAAACGAAGAAACAAAAAAGCAATTAAATGGGGATTTCAAATGGGTTTGATTCCAAAGACAAGCTAGTAGCCTTACTTCTTCCTTAATTAAGAAAGCAACTCTGATTTTTTTGACATTTCATTTTGTATTTTGTCGGATATGGGCAGTTTGAAATATTTTAATCTCAACATTTCAAGAATCCTGTATTTGCAAAAAAAATTTTATTCTGTGAAAATCTTGTTTAAATTTCTTACTTTTTTAACAAGGTATATCGTGAATTTTATAGAAGAAGGAAAGTTATATATGAGTACTAAAACTTTAATAGTTCCATATTTGACACAGTGTTTGTTAGGATAGGTGTAAAATGAAACAGGTTGGGTATGAGTGTTAATGATAACTGTTTGCTAACTAATATAATAAGTATTTATCCTGGTTCTCTTCCAAATTCTAGGTTATGATTTTCTTTATTTTATTCTGATTTTATAGATCTGAAATAGTTTGATAGTGAGCTTGAGAGGTTAACCCAATATAAGTCAGTTTCTTCAGAAACTTATTACATCTGAGTTACTATGTTTTGCTAGATATCTGTATCTTCCTTTATTTAAAAAACCAACCTCATAAAATTTTACCTTATTATTTCTTTCAAAGTTCAGGTACTAATTATTGCAGTCATATTTGTATCTACTTTGCTGTATTATTGGGAAAATTAAATAATAAATATATGTGAGACACAAAATACTGCCAACTAGTTAAGTACTTATTTAAGTGTTGTTAGCTGTTTGAAGTTTGTATATACTTATGGGACAGATTTGAAGTTCAGAAAAATGACAAATATTTAGATGTTTATAGCTTAAAGGATAGCGATTAGATGTGTACAGTGTGTTTATCACAGTGCCTTAGTACTAGTATATAGCATGCAGTGATACTATTACATTACTATAGCTGGTATATATATATATATATATATATATATATAGTTTTTCCTTATTTCAATATCATTTTTCCTTATATTTCCCTTGTTTGTGTTCTTGGAATGCTTGCTACTGCACTGTAAGAGCTTTATGCTACTTCTTGGAAATGCTCTGGTACATTGGTGTCCTTTGTAACTCAGTAACTGCACACTAGTGAGATGTGTGATCCAGATTTTTCATATCTTAAACAACCAAGAAATAAGTTCTGTGCTCTGGAACACTGTTGGTTATTTTATGTGACAGTGGGCTTTTATAGTTCAGTCAGGTGCCTACCTAACTACTACAGTGGTTGTATTTGTACATTTATGTAAACTAGAATATTTCTCTTTTAGTCTGGGATATTTTCTTTTCAGGGTACACTTAAAGGTTTTGACCAGACCATTAATTTGATTTTGGATGAAAGCCATGAACGAGTATTCAGCTCTTCACAGGGAGTTGAACAAGTGGTACTAGGATTATACATCGTAAGAGGTGACAATGT